AACTTTTGGGTTTCTATATGAACTATAATAAGGAGGCTAAAAGTTTAACTTTAGGAGGGGTTCAGAAGTCAGCCAAGGTTTGGGTTTGTTCCGTAGTTGGTTCGGAAGGACAGCAGGGTACATTAAGCTAAACCCTTGAATCTGAATCCGTGTCTGGCTTGCACGTTGGAATATTGACCCCAGCGTACAACTGCACATTGCATTATCCGGATGTGTTCGTTGAAACCAAACTTGTTTCAACAGAAGGTGTTGTTCATGCATAGGTTTTGAAGGCACACGACACCTCACGCTTGGGGCGTGGTCTGTTTTCAGGCGCTCGGAAGAGCCATGTTGAGGACAAATTGGTGGCAGAAAGCTGTGAAGGGCGAAGCTGTTTAGAAGGGCCTGTGTGGGCCTGCAAGCTGTTTGAAAGGGCAAGCCTTACGAAACCTGGAAGCAAGAAATCCTCAAAAAATTCACCCCACAAAACCTACAAACCCGAAAACCCGAACCGAACAGTTGTCACACAGCACCTATAGTACGCAGAAAAACGAATTACACACTTCAGCAGTGCATACCTGCCTACAGACCCTACGAGCCCCTAAACCCTGAACCCTGCAAGCCTGACCTGGATTCCCGAGTGCGAGCGCCGAAACCCTACAAGCCCCACACCCGGCCTCCGCTTCCTACAAATCAATAGTAATGATTATAATAGTAGTCAAACTAATAGCAATAAGATGATACTAAAAACAACAGGCTGCTGACGGCATCGTGTTACTTGTGCCCCCTGCCAGCCATGGCTTTGGCGCACCCTGCGTCCCGGCCTTTCCCGGCCCTTGAGGCTGTGACTCTTGCCTCGATCCTGGGGCGTTTAGGATGTAAGGTTTATAGGGTTTGTAGGGTTTAAGGGGTTTTGGGTTTAGTGGGTTGAGGATTTAGGGGACGAAAAGCATGCAGCCTCAGGTTTTAGGGAGATGTTGTGGGGGGGACGCAAAGCGTGCAGCCTCGAGATGTTGGGGTTCGGTGTCTAGGGTTTAGGGCGTTTGGGGTTTCTAGGGCCTGAGGGTTAGGGTTTAGGGGTGAGGATCTTCCGCGCAAAGCAAGGGTTTAGGGTTTAGGGTTTTAGGTTTTAGGCTTCAAGAGGCCTGGATGCAAAAGGGTTTAGGGTTAAGTAGCAAGCCGGCTGCAAAAGGATTATTTGGGCGTTTAGGGCTTCGGACCAGGGTGTTTAGGGCTTAGGTTTAGATTTTACAGAGCGTTGGGCTTAGGGTGTTTGGGGTTGAGATTCAAGGTTGCGATTAGGCTCAGGGTGTCCCGAAAAGGAGCAGAACTCGATTCAATACATATAGTGGCTGGAATTAGATTCGTTCATGTTGTTGATGCTGTTTTGTTTTTGCCACCTCGTTGGTGGCATGCCATATTCAGCCATCCAAACCTTCACGATGCATTAGCTTGCATATCTGTTTCCAAGGTCTTTCGTGCCTGCCGAAGCCAGCCGCAAGCCACGACAGAGGAGACCGTCGGTGCTTTTGCAAGCATTTGAGGTCTTTGGGATTTGTTTGAGGTCTTTGGTGGTTTGTTGAGGTCTTTGAGGGTTATATATATAGAGAGACAGGGAGAGGTGTAGAAACATACATACATCTATCTATATATATATATATATATATAATCATGTCTGCATCCTTCCATCAGGCAGTTCTCCTATCTTGCGACCTGCGCGCCTTCAAAGTCAAAGAAAGCCAGTTCTTGAAGTTCAGGTCCTAAAGCGGACATTTGGCAAGACCCTCATGGCTGTAAACCCTGGCACAAAAATTCAATCTCAAACCCCTTCGGGACTGCAGCAACTATAGAGCTAACACAGAACCAGCTTTAAAGCCACCACGAGCAGTGATGCACAGAACATAAACAAACACCCTAGACCCTGAACCCCTAGAAGAAGGGGAAGAGTCTTAACATGTCTAGAAGCAAGAACAGAACCCTAGTAAGCGACGGTAGACCCTAAACGTCTTAACATGTGTAGAAGCAAGAACCCTAGGGACATAGGAACTTAAAGGGCCCCTTTAAAGGGATCTATAAGGGATTTCTATAAGGGTACTTTAGAGATACTTGGAGGATCATGGTAAACGACGGTCCGGCCGCTGTTAGGTCATCGCCCATGCTCTTAGTGGCACTATCGGCTCAGTCCTGGCCGAGGCACGCCGTGCCCATGGGAGCCAGTGATTTTCGGGATCAGGAACCAAAAAGGCACTTAAACATAAGCTTGCGCATTATGGTTTTATTTAGCTGCTTGTCTGGGCTCCTCTAGGATGTAAACTTGAAGTGGCGGTCACAACAGCTTTAGGGTTCGGTGTACTGTAGGCATTGTCGCGGGTGCTCTAAGCATTGCTACGAGGCTACCATAAATTTCAGGATGTGCCCATAATAGTGGGCATCTGGGGCATATTAGAGGGTAATTGGGGGGTCTAGGATAAGTATCCCTGGAGTCATGCAAATTTGCACTGGTGTCATCATTTTTCTACTGCAATCCAGCAGCAGTTCCCTAGGTAATTGCATCTTCTGCCATTAAGGATACCGTATACGTAGTATCTTCTGGTATGATGTATGGAACATAGGATGTTCTGATATGGTGTGTGGACCGCCGCATCTTCTGCTGGCATCCATAGAAGATTTCGTATGTAGGACCGCCGAGTATGGCACATTTGTTGCCACCACAGCTGGGAGCCAGGAAGGAAGCGCATGAATGTAAGTCTCCTTTGATGTAGGGTTGTATTGGTTGTCGGTGGGCTGTTAATTACGGGGGTTCCTTGCGAAAAAAGGCTGGTGTATGTTTTGGGTTTTAATCCTACTGCATGCATATGTGAAATGGTACGCTACATATGTTCTAGGAATTCTAGCACCCTAAGCCCAAGCATCTGCATGCCAAACCTAAAAGAGCATCGAGCTCTGCATCGTATCATATGGACCCTACGTGCGAGATCAGCCATAAATACCATTGTTGGGTTCATTTGTCTGGTCCTGAAGGTATGGAATTGGGCACCTAAATCCGAAACATACCCTGTACCTGAAGCCCGAAATGTCATGCCCTAGACCCTAAACCCGCGAACGGAAAAGCCACTTCAACCCTTAAAAGAGACGACTCTAAGCCCCATAAACCCTGTTCGCTACGTACTTTTGGGATTGGGGGACCCCCGAACTCTAGAAGAACCACTGTAATAAGCATAAGCCTAAAGAGTGATCCTGACCCGAGACCCTATTCTAACTAGGACTAAAACCAAACAAGACCCAAAAGCGCCTTAAACCCTAAACCCTTCTATGTGGAGCCTTGCCTGCCTGTGCGAGTGTGAGCGTCGAAACCGAGCCCCACTTGCCAGGCGATCCTGTTCCCGGTTGATACGATCAAGCTGAGGGTGCAGACGGCTCCTCGGATGCAGCACAGAGGCTCCAAAGCCCTTTGCGTAAAGACTAGACTCGACCCCCGTGTGTGTATACATGTGTATATATATGTATATATATGTATACAGAGAGAGAGAGAGAGAGAGAGAGACACATATAATATATATATATATATATATAGTATATATATAGTATATATATATAATTATATGTTTATTTGCACATTGCTTTATATGTGTCTATTTGTCTATACATCTGCCATCTAACCTCGATCTATCTGGCTATCTATCCATCTATCTATTTACCTTTCGTTCTATGTATCTGTAATTTTAGCTGTATTGCAGCTGCACTTGTATATGTGTACAGCTCAGCGTGGAGATTTCCAAATCATCTTTCTCAGATTACATACCTTGAAATGGCCTTATCGTGGTTTAAGGAAGAAGACTGCAATCTCATAGATGCTGGAGCCTCTGGTAAGAGGCTTAGGGCATCGGGGCCGCAGTTCGTCGCGTTCAGGGTTTAAGACTTTAGGAGTTGGTTTTAAAGTTTTAGGGTTTGAGGACGTATGGGTTTTGGGGCTTCAGGGCTTGGGGGGCTTGGGCTCTCGAGTGTAGGATTTGGGGCGGGGAGGGGGGTGGGGGTGGGGGGGTTGGGGGTCGTAGGGTTTAGGGTTTGAGGGCGGGGGTTGATGGCATGGCGCTTTCTGAGTTTGGCGTTTGGGGTCCCATTAGCTCCAAAATACTAGAAGACTATGGACAGCCGTCTTTTACAACTTAGCCACAGGTTCACGGTTGCTTCCGGCAGAGATAAAAGCTGAAGCCCCGCAACATCACAACCAAAAGGACCAAAGCTGCTCTCTTACAGGGTAGGGCTTAGAGGTTGTGTTTTCGGAAGTGTCGCGCCGGTATACGCTGCTACAGGTAGGAGCCTGTAGCATCAGATTTTGGCCGCAACTTGCACTGCAGATTGATGCCCTCCTTCCCTCTGACCAGTAGCACGAGAACTTCGTAGAGCCTCAAATGAGGAAGGGAGGTGGATCATCTTCCAGCTTTGTAAAGTTCTCGGATCAACCATACCCGCATTAGTCGCATTAGTGTCGCTGAGAGCCTGGGCACCATGCGAAGCAGATTGCCTGCAAGTCCCAAAGCTCAATGTAGTTTCCTTTTTAAACATGTAAGCATGCAACAAACACCAGAGACCGTGTTGATTATCATCAGGAGCCCTCGAAATATTACAGGTCATTATTATACCCTAAGGCTCCATGTACCCATATAGTATATACTTAGGCCTTAAAGTACCTATATGGGGACCCCTTTAAGGCTCAAGTATCTACTATAAAGGTACATGGAGCCTTTGGGATAAGCACAGATAGAAGGCCGCAGCTAGCGATCGCCGTGGCTTCCTGGCCACCCTGATTTCCGTTCTTGGCGAGGCCTTTTGGTTATCGGGGGCCCGAGCAGTTGATACTGATGCCTCTTCGTCCTACCCAGAGTATGCCACGCACACGTAGATTATCCCCTAAACCCCTAAACCCTAAACCCTAAACCCTAAACCCGAACAAGATGGACAGCTTGCTTGAATCCGCCATAATGGGTCGAATTAATGGTCAAATCTTGATCCAAGCCACGATGACGGATGACATGCTGGCAGCGTACGAGGAGACTCTTGCTGCAATTGCTCATCATGCAATGCTGGGAGCAAACAGGATAGCCTCTGCGTCAAAGGCCTTTTTTGCATCGTGTTTTGCTTCTTTTTTTGAGAAGAACACTGATGGATCGAATCGTTCAGTGATGTCCGATTGGAATCTAACTTACGGTAAAGAAGTAAGACTGGATGCAGTTTCGAAGTGTATTGATGGTGAAGGAAGGTCTTTCGTTGAAGACTTTGAATCTATCTGCAGTAGACACTCTCTGTCTCAGCTGCAGATATTGGATTTGCTTGGAACTACCAGCATAATACCAGCTCAACCTACCTCAGTTGCTTCGCTTATGGAGAGAGCCGAGAAGATGCACGAGAAGGTTACAACACCAGATGAAGACACCTACGACGAGTTCATTACATATGCTGGAAGGGTGGATCTATTCTGGTACCTGAGGAAACATGATTCAATTTCCTATGACCAACTGGTGGGACCAGAAGAAGAAAAAATGGCTCTTCTGTCACTCATAGATGAAAGTGAAGCCAATCACAAAAGACGATCTTGGAACCTATCGGACATTCCTGATAATTTGTCCATGAGAGACGTATTCAGATTCTTTAATTATGGAGCATTTTGGTACTTGTTCGCGAAAGATTCTACTGATTTGACCCCTTCATCGAACGCAGTCATTTCGAATGAAATCAAGGCCGCCCTGATCAACGGGGAAGAGATATTTGATGGACGTTCTTTTGACGACTGGATATCAGATTCAGATTTGTGGACTGCAGTATTGTACACAGCTGGGAAAGCTGAAGCTGCCAAAGCCAACCCAAAACATCGAATGACTGCTTCAGCTGACAGGCTCACAAGATGGTTATTGTCTACCATAGACCGCAACCGCAAGGACTACGTTAATATGAACCCAGCTGTCATGCAAGGCAGGAGTCCATTTGCCATTGCGGTTTGGTTCGAGAACTTGTCCAAATGGGTCATTGATTCTTCCAAAGATGACAGGGGAACTTTGATGTTCTCACATGACTTGGCAGCTTGGTCTGAGGGGCAGTCTAGAAAGCATGTCATGAGACACAACGCTCTTGTCTCAGCCTATTACAAAGGTTTTGAGAAGATAACTGACAAGATGAGACAAGTCTATGACTCACTTCACCTCTTGACTGACAGACTTGGCGCTCGACATTACACAAGCTGGAAGGATTCTCTGATGCAGGGAATGCAAGGCTTCGCTGACTCATGGTTGCATAGTCGCATTGTCAAATTTTTGACTGCAAAATTCTCAGATGTTCAGGGAATGCCTGCAATCCTATCTTCACAAGGCGCCACGAACATCGATGACGTTCTTTTGATATTGAAAACTGCCAAAAAAGTCGGTTCATCTCTTGCAGAACAACTGTTCTCAACTCTTGAAGAAAAACTGGTATGAATGATAATTGATCTGCAAAGGCCATTTTGGCCTTGGGGTCGTTGTATGCATACTCCTACTTTCCACACTATGCCAGACCTCGCGAGCGGACATTGCATTCCAGCCATGCGAGAGGGAAAAAAAACCCTAAACCCCTAAACCCTAAGCCCCTAAACCCTATACTCCCGAAACTTGTGCTGACTCGAAGTACGAGTCAAACCGCGAGCTCCGGCCCCCCCAGAACCCTAAAGTCCTAACAAGGACTCCCAATGCCCTAAGAACTGAACTACCTAGACTCCTGATGTTAAGGAGCTTCATCAAGTTACCATGATGGGGATGTACCGTAAATGGTAGGTTTTCCTCATGATAGTGACGTAATTTAATTTCCTTAGCAGCAACCCAGCAGTTTGGGGGTTCTGGGCTTGTGGTTTCGACGGCATTGGTCTGCGCCCACAGCGGCTGTTACATGAGCATCGGCCAGAAATGATTCACAATGTTTGTTTCCTTGATTGAGAACAGAGTTGTGAAGCACAAAGGTGTTCAGAAATGGTGCTCGAAAGAGCCCCCTTATGATATACCGTGAACAACTAGACTACTTGTAGTCTTAAGCGACCAGCTGCGAGTAGTGGGTGCCACTAGCAGGTAGCGGGCAGCAAGTATACGCACACAAATTGTTGATTGTTGGCTCTAGGTTTCGGGCCTCCCCGAAGTGCGACCTTCTTGACACCAAGTTCCAATTACCATAAAAGCCCGCAGACAATAACCTAGGCCCTAAACCCGAAACCAGCTGTGTGAGCGTAAACCCAAACCTTACCTATAGTCTGAAATTGTAGTTCCTTTTTGGGGTTACCTTATAGGATCCTATATATATATATACTTGGTTAAACCCAAAACAGGAACTGCAATGGAGACTATAGGTAACCTTCAATCCCCAAACCCTAAACCCTACCGAGATAGCTGGAGACGGGAGGCCGGCTTCCGGGGACTCTACCGTGGCATCGGTGCCGCCTTGATAAAGGTGCTCGGCCTCCAATGCGGGTTCAGGGTTCACTTACCTTTGGTTAGTAGAGGGAATGGAGGAATGGGGTACAATTAGAACTACTTTTACTACCATTCTTCCATTCCCTACTAACCAGAGGTAAGTTTAGGGCCTTTCGGTATCGTTCGTTCTTCGGTGCGACTCGCACTGCAAGCCCGGCAACGCCAGGGTTCTGAGGGCCTTGGTATGTGTTAATGATTGGAAGAAGAATCGGGTCCTGTGTATGTTGAGGGAACCACCAGGAATACTGAAACTACCGCAAGGTAGTCAGGTATTGCTACATTGGAGCTTGATAAGGGCTTAAGTTAGAGTCAAGGGTGCGTGAGCTGGCGAGAAGAGAGCGACACAAACGGCGACGGAGAGAGAGGGAGAGAGAGAAACAGAGGGACGGTAGGGAGCTCAGGATTAAGGCCAGTTAATGGGTGCAGGGTTCTTTCAAGCAAAGCTTCACGGGTGAGTTGCGTCGAAGACACGGCCAAATCATTGAACATGTTCGGGAAACTCGGCCTTTGATTGGGCTGCTGTTACGGAATTTAAGTTTAGTCACTATCATAAGGAACCCCTGCTATTTACTGTATATCCCCATTGTGGCAGCTAAACTACCCAGTTGAACAAGCACAGGTGCCAACCATTCGCGCATTCGGCAGCCCCGACGCTACTGCAAAGTCGTGTTGTCCACATTGCCAAAGTCCAGCCGAAACAGTGCCACCACCCGATGAAGCCCCATTCCCAGCACAAACTCTCGAGGGAAGGTCTAGAAGTCTTTCAGCAACCAACGTCTGGTTGCAGCTGTACAGGATGAGCTAGAAGCTCTTTAGCCAGGCTGTTCAGTGGTACACTTTCTTACTTTCAGGTTTCTGGGCTCCTATTACAAAATAAGAAGTACATACCTTTCCCAGCGGGTTACTGAACAGCCTAGTTAACTATGTGCAACTATGTACCCCCTGGGGCTCCAGTTGCCTGAATAGTAGGTTGCTAACAATATATTATATACCCCAGTAGCCAACTATTTGGGTAACTGGAGCCCTAGGGTACAGCATAGACCCTCCTAGGCTTCAACAGCCACGGTTGATGATATAAATCCTGCAGTAGCCACAGTAAGGAATATACCATAATTCCCAGAGTTTAGGGCCCTTAAGGCAGGATTTATATCATCATCCGTAGCATGCCAACTTCTGGGCCAACTAGGCTCAACGACTCGAGGTCAAAAAGCCTCTGAGGCACAAACCTTCAGATCTTTGTGTCCCGTAGACGCTTAGTTCTAGGTGTTTCATGTGAACCCCTAAACCCTAAACTCAAAGAGTCGAGGAGTCGATCCACTCCCTGAACTACTGGATTTTCCATGGCAGCCTCTTCCGACTCTTCACCGAGTTTGAGGTCGGTGTAAGCTCTACCTGGACCCTAGAAAATCTGCTTTCCTAGGATGTCCGTATTATCATTATTTGAATTCCTCATATGAGTCTCTAAAAATACACCCTACCCCTCCCCCCCCCCTCCCTTTCCCCGCCACCCTAAACCCTAAACTCCCATAGTGGACCAGGCGTACCTAAACCCACCGAAAAGATAAGTAAAATAATGGCCCAAAACCTTGAAGAGGGGTCCAGGCAGGGTTGATTTCTCTTGGGCTTCAGCTTCTGGATGTACTTTGGCTTTTCGTGTTTTCGTGATAAGGAGGACAAGTCCATAGCCTGCTGAATACACAATAATCAGAGTTTGTCCTTAGGGTTCCTTGTTAAATTTATACATACCATAAAGGAGCCAAAAAACCTATTACTATCGTGAAGGCCCCTGCAGTAGACATCGGAGTGCTGTCTGGTGCTGAGAGTGCCCACGCACAGTTGTAAGATGTCCATAGGGTTTAGGGTTTAGGGTTCTGACTAAGGTGACGGGTCCGCAAAGCCTTTACCGGCTAGAAAGGTTTAGGAGTTTAGGGGTTTAGGGGTTTTGGGTTTTGGGCTCTACTATAAACCAACCCTCAACCTGTATCTCAAACCCTAAAGCCATGAGGCTTCATCGGCCCTTAACCCTCAACCTAAGAAACCTCAAATCCCCGAAGTTTTCGGAACCCTTAAAGGAGCCTAAACCATCCCTGGCACAGGACACGTCCGCCACCTCTCCGATGCGACGGCTCGTGCTGAATCTGGCATCCGGGCGTGAAGGATATCGAATTATGCAGGGTTCCAGCCACTCTACAAGCCTTCCGTAAAACGCTACTTGGTGGGCTCTTTGCTTTCCTGTTACAGGAAGCTACCTCAACCCTCTGCTTCGTTTTTGTGCTGCCGTCGAGGGCTGTCGTAGCTCCAGTGTGGAAGGTGTCGGCTTTGAATCTCCTTGGACTCAAGTTCTCGTGCTTCTTCGGCATGTTTGGGGTATATTCTACTACTTTGACTATAAAAAGGAACCCCTCAGAATAGTATTGGTAGTTATTTAGACCCCTATCGGATCGTAGGCTTGGGTTTAGAGGTGCAGCTGAGCCTGTCGGGTTGCTACTGAGGGTTTAGGGTTGCGAATCAGGGTGCAGGGTTGTTGTTCAAGCTGCCGGGCCTTTCGAATGCTCCCAAGCCCCGAACAGAAGTGCCAACGATAGTAGGCACCCATCGACGACCACCGACTACTAAGACCGGCAGGATTCTTGTGGGGTGTAGGGTTTAATCAGCTTGCACTTTAGACTCGGATTTTGCTCGCTGTGTCAAGGGCCGCGCAGAAGGATCAATAGTAAGGCAGGTGTATGTTGAAACGCAGGGCCGACAGCAGCCTCTATCGTAGTCATGAATAAGAACGTAGACCCCCGATTAGCATACGCCTTTTGCTTGCATAGCCCAGATGCCAGCATCCCTAGCATAAGCAGTGTAAGGCTCATTAGCTCAGGAGGGTGTATTCGCCATATTTTCTACACTACCATTCCTTCGGGTTCCCACGAAAGCTATGTTTCGAAATCCCAGGCTTCCTGTAGCCCAAGTCCAACTACTCAGGCTTCGATACGCTCTGACGAGTCTACAAGTATACAGTATGTTGGTATCGATGCACCCTTTTCTATCGGACTTGGGAGACTCTTGCAGGCTTTTGGGCTTTGGGATTGACCCGAAGTCCCGAATTCAGCCGGCGGAAGATTGAAACGTAAATGTGTTTTAAAGATCGCCCTCCTCGCCACTGGTATCGAGATTCTCAAGGACCGAGCTCCTGCTAGTATGACCCGGAAAGGAAGCGGGGGGGGGGGGGGGGGGGTTATAGATCAGGGCTGCCTCAACCTAAACCCTGAGACTCTAAGGCCGCCCACAGCCCAGAATCGATTACGCAGAACAGTTTCCTATGTCATTCCTGTGTTGCCTGGCTTAGGTATCGAAGCAGATGCGCCTTGGACCGAAGTCTAGACCACCCTTCAAGCCCCGATACGGCACACCCTCAAACCCTAGGCAAGCTAATAACAGCCGTTATAATGCCCCTAGATTAATCCATCAGCTGAAAGGGTTTAGGGGTTTTCGGTTTAGGGCTTCCCGTTTCGGGTTCTACTTAGTTTCCAAAAGCCCGACCTGTTTTCATGCACCCCCGAGAAAATCCAAAAGCTTAATCCTGAACACCCGGACTCTTGGCCAGTGCGTTTTCAGGGTTTCGGGTTTACCTGACTCCCGAGAAATTCAATAAAAGATACATGGCAATCACAATCAGGACATGTAGCATTTCAGAACTACGGTTCAGTATCCGAGGATCTCACATACCTTACATGCCGTATACATATGCAAAATATAAACGGAGCGCAGGATTCGAGTTCCCTCTTCAGAGTTTCAACCTGCTGTCTTTCCCGTCATATGTAGGTGCTAGGGAGGTGTAGAGGGAAGAGGCTTCAAACTTCGTTGCTGCAAAACAGCCCACCTTTCCGGTCCTCCAGCTGTCGCAGTTCCTCTTTACGGCAAACCCCTAGCTGCACTGTGTGGCCCTATGTAGCAAGTAGCAGAACCCCGAATGCCAAAGTTCAGGCCGAACACGCCCCGCCCAAAGTCAAACTGCCTTCAGCTATGTTGCCGATGCTTGGGAGAATGATACACCGTACAGAAACTTCCATGAAATCCCGGAACCCAAACCGCAACTCTAAACTAGAAACCCAACTCCTGAACCTTAAACCCTAAACATAACCGCGCTAAACCCTCGACGCGCAGCAGTGGCCAAGGAACTGGCTGTGCACAGTGCCCTTCGAGGCTTTCGCGTTTGTTGCAGTTTGTTTGAAGGGGCAGGTTTACGAGCAGCCTTTGAACCTCATACAGTACCCTGTTGTTTCGATGTTGAGCGTGTAGTGCTTAGGGCTTTTAGCAGCATTGGGATTCTGGAGCTGCTGTTTTGGCTAGCAAAGTGCTGAGCCCCCCCAACCCTCAAAACCCATCGTTTCCTGTAAGGCTCAGCACCTCAACGGGACTAACGCCAGCGTTTTGGGTTTGGGGGCTGTGGCTGCGGCAGTGATGTAGTAGGGGGTGAGGGTTAATGGGGTTTTCCGATTCCCAAACTAACATGAAATCAGATAAGAAAAGTTTACCTTTAGACCATGGCGGTTTCGACGGAGCGCTTCCGGGCACGACCAGGTCCTCCTTCCATTCCCTGAGCACGAGCCCTCAAGTCTAAACCCACGAGTGTCGTAGACTCTAACCTGCCTTTGACCAACCCAGAAGGGCATGGTACCCTGGGTTAGACCTGCATTCACCAAATTCCAAAATTTTGCTGACTCTAAACCTTGAATCCCGGAACTCTTCTTCGGCGTCGCGGAAACAGACCTGAACCCCCCCTGGTTTAGATGCTATAGGCCCCAATCCGAGCTTTACACCGACCTGTCGATACAGTAGACGGAGACAAAGCCTTAATGATTCGGCAAGCCTTAATGCCTTGTATTAACCCCAAGACCAGTAACAACAAAAGCCCTGCAAATGTGAAAACCGATTTAACCCCTGACCCTCAAAAACACGGTATTAAGCAACACACACACACACACACATATATATATATATATATACACCCTTTCAAAAATCTAGAACCTGCAAACCCTACACCCTAGCCCCTAAACCCTGAGAAAGAAAACCCTAGATCCTAAACTCTGAACCCTAAACCCTGAACCCTGAACCCTCAATGTAGCGTGCAATGCCGGTTTCGTCCTTGCTAGGTAGGAGGAAAAAACGTCAACCCAATCCCTAAACCCTAATCCTTGAACCCTGAACCCTAAACGAAAACAGAACCTGCCTGAACTCACGAGGTCATCTCGAGCGTGAACCAAATGTCCGAAAAGGCTCCCGGCTTTGCCGCGACAGCCGCCGCATTGTACCAGGACACCTTTAGGGGTTTAGGGTTTAGGGGCTTAGGGATCTATAGGGGTTCTATTCGGGGGTGTAGGGATTAGGGGTTTAAGGGTTTATAGGGGTTTGGGGTCGAGGGTTCTGGGGTTTAGGGTTTAGGGGTTTAGGGTTGGCCTTGATCATGAGAATAGGGTTCGGTACATATTCAGGATTAGTGTACATCCTAAACCCCACACGCTGATTAATCAGCAGAGTTTGGAGTTCAGGGCTGAAAGCGCTTAGGGTTTATGAGTCGACCCAGAAGGTGCTATATGTTTCTTCTTTCTAAAGTTCTTGTACGCAGGTATGTAACTGTGTGTATATATATATATATATATATATATATACACATACATACATACAGACATACATACATACATGTACAATATATACATATATATATATATATATATGTATATATATATATATATATATATATATATACATATATACACAAATACATTTGCGCACACACACACACACACACACACACACACACACACACACACCCGCGTGCGCGCACGCATCCAGATCAGGGTTGGCCTGGGTAAAGTGTCTACTTGGGAGTCCAAAACGCCGTGTACACACAGCAAAGGGGGCAGTTTAACGACGTGGAACGTCAAGCCCAAAGATCTGGACCGCCAATGTGGGTGGTTGTCAAAATTATGGTCCCTTTCTGGCTCCCTAATATATAGTACGGCACCTTTCATTTAGGGTACCCAAAAAGGGACCCTAAATTTCACAACCACCCATGTGATGATTGACAAAGAATAAGACCCCAGGCCTTCGCGAATGGGTTGAATGTTTGAGTTTCAGTGGATAGGTTCAGGGTTTAGGGTTTAGGGGTTTAGGGTTTAGGGTTTAGGGGTTTAGGGTTTAGGGGTTTAGGGTTTAGGGTTTAGGGTCCCTAAACCCTAAACTCAAACCCTAAGCAATTGAAGCGTCCTGCCCGAAGCCTTTCAGGAGGGGGGCTTGGGAGCGTTCTACCGTGGGCTCACTGTCTCGCTCATTCTGGCGATCAACCCAGCCATCATGAGACTTGCGCCACAAGAGACAGGGGAGGGTGGAGACGTAGTGTGGAAGCTTGAACAGTTGCCTATGTGATGCCTGACTTTTCCCAGTATAGCCAAACAATAGTACAATATACTCCAAAGCGATAGTCTAATGATTCACACCTCCGCCCTCCAAAAGAAAAACAAGACTTCGGAGCTCAAAGATGTCACCCCGATCTTGTACAGCCCCTCTTGCTGGAGGGGCAGCCTTCCACAGCAAGCCCTCGTCAGTTAATTAATGGTTAGTTGTACTCTACTTCACCGATTCCCTTACTCCTAAACCCTACCCCAAGGCCCCATAGTAGTTCCTTTTTGGGATTACCTTATAGGATTCTCAATATGAACCCCCAAAAGGAACTACTTGGGGGCCTGTGGGTCAACCCTTTATTCCGGAGCCTTGTCTGCCTTTTGCGGGAGTGCGGGTCGCAACCCATGGTTGCCAAGAACGTGTAACATCATCCAAGGAACACGAGTAGGCCCTTAGTCCCTTCCTTAGGGTTTAGGTTCCCATATAACCCCCTTTTAACCCAAAAAGGGCACCCTTTTAATTCCTAGGTTACTCTTGGGTCGAGTCATCCAAGGAACACGCTCATAACCTCCATGCTGCGGGTCAGGGCGATGCGGCTTGGCTTTAGCTGGCTATCGGTGCAGGGGTACTCGTACGTGTCAGGTTCAGGAGCCAAATCAGTTGTTGATGGGCTCTGGGGGAGCTTATCATGTATAGTGGTTTTGTAGTGTAATCCCTTCCCCCGAATGTTTAACTCTTTCCCCTCCCATAATACAAAAAATTGATTTCGGGAGGGTCAGGTTTTACATTAGGTGGGGTTTCGGGGCATCCGGGTCTGAGTAGGATTGGCCGTGTTTCAATAGCAATTGGTTATGGACCCAGACAGTCAGTGACAACGACCACTTAAGCCCTAAACCTTGAGCCCTAAGACCTAAAGCCCCAAACCCTAAAGCTTTAGCGCTGAGCCCTAATTGAACCCTTAAACCCTAAAGCTCTGGTCTCTTCTGTCTGATTAGTACTGCTGTAGTCTTTGCCTCAAAAAAAAACTAATACAATCCTAGGGCCCCCAAATGTTTCTAATGAGCTTTGATTGTGGGCCCGACACCTCGAAATTACGGTGGCCGGGAGTTTTTATATTAGGGGGTGGGTGGGTTAATGCTAGGGGGAAGGGATGTGCTGGCTTGGACCCCGACGACCGGCCCCTTCAAGCTGAGCACAAAGGCCAAAGGTTCAATCTACGAGAACACGGGGTTTAGAGATTAGGACCATAGGATGTAGGGAGTAGGGAACCTAACGCCCAAGAGCTGCCTTAACCCGAAACTTGACTGAACGGAAAGCATAATCCTCTAAGCCAGAAGTCCCGAAGCCCGAAGACGATGGAGGCCATTACCAATACTGTTCTAGGGGATTCCTCATGCTTGTTATACTAAACTGTCCCCCAAAGCCCTAAGGCCCCTGTACCCTCAACCCTTATAGTAGCCCTGCATGAACCTTTACAGGAACCCTTGAAAGGAACCCCATGGCCCTTAAGCCCTAAACCCTTGAAGGGAACCCATGGCCGCCTTGTAAGAGGTTTCTGCAGTCCTGTGGCGTTGAACACTCAGAGGCCGGGTGGTGGCACTCGCCTTGCAGGATGTTCTATTGCAGAATCCCTAACTCCGAAGCCCGAAACCCTAGTGTGTATGTGTGTGTGTATGTAGATGTACATATATATATGTGTATATATATATATATATACATACCTTTATCGATGTAATACCCCAGGATGTCGAGTTAAATGCGAGATCCTTTGTTACAAAGTTGTTGGTGACTGTGGGTCGCGGCATGGTGGTCGCGGCGGTGGTGGTTTTGGTGTGGTTGTTGTGTTTTGTGTTGTTATGAATCTTGTTATCGTTGTTCGTAAGGGGCTCTTTGGCTGTGGAGAGGAAGTTGCTTATGAGGTTTGGCTGCAGGGTTTAGGTAAAAGGGTTTTGGAATTGTCTTGGATAGGATTGGTGTGCATTTGAGGTCAGGAGACTACTTCCAACGCCACCGTAGGTGCTCTACTAAGCCTGGCCACCCTTCAAGCACCACCCCAAACGGGATCCTACTTAGGGGTTATGGTGCTTATATCTCTACAAAATAACTACTTAGTAAGTCCCCCGACTCCCCAGTATAGTAAATCCCAAAAAGATGGAAACCGGATTAAGGATAATTAGTGCTTGGATTCCCTATACATTCCTCCGAAGGATTGAGGCTATTGGGTTTCCAACTTTTTGGCTTCTACTGCAGGGTTTAGGGTTTATTTCGTTGTCTCCGTATGAAGCCGTTCTACACCCCTGTGAGCCCGCGCAAAGCCTCTGATAAACCCTTATAAACCCAAACTGCCAAGAATCCTCGAGCTGGACGTCAGGCAGTTTCAGGGTGTTGGCAGGGTTTTGGACTGGGGCTTTGATCACAGGAGTCCAAAAAGGGTTTTAGCCTATGGGGGTTTAGTAGGGATTAGGGTTCCCATAATAAGGTTCATATTTAAAATAAGGAATCCCTACCCCAAGAATCTTAAACCCCCCTTTTGGCCTCCCATCATTTGAAACTTTCAGGCTGATCTGGATGGAGGATTGGGCCTGAAGAGGTTTCGAGCTTCGCCCCTGAGCCCAAACCCTAGAACGAATCGAATCCCCAGAATTTTTTGACAGATGTCAGGTTCTTCCATTGCTACAAGCAAACAAGATAGAATACGATTTTGAACAGAAAGCTTCCTATGTGGAAGCACGAGATGGTTTCGTAGCCGTAATTGTTCAAGCTACTCGGCCCTGCACAGGACAATGAGTCAATCACGGGTTTTGGTTGAGGCCTCAGGGCTTTTTAGGCCTTCGGTTCCGGGATTTGGGGGAATGAATCTCCGGCGCCTCTCATGTTCGGGGCACGACTTTTGTAGGAACTCAGAGCAGCGACGCCCAAAGAAGGGTTTCGAAGGGTGGCCATGGCTTCGTTGTGGTGGATGATTGTCTCGACCAGCTTGCTGGCGGCTGCACTGTTCTTGCTCCCTGGCTGATCTTAGGGTATAGGGTTTAAGGCTTTAGGGTTAAGCTTCATGCACCAGGGAGCTGGTAAGGAAAAGCAGGGAAAAGCCACAAGAGAGCACGACCAAGCAGGAGCAGCAATGCAAGCAGCAATCGAAGCGGTAAACAAGCACAAGCAAAACACGTGTATGAGTGTTGTCCGTTCTTTGGGTGGGGTAGTAGTCGTCGTCGTACAGCAGCAGAAACAGCCGGAGGAGGAGAAGGATGAGTAGTAGTTCTTAGCCATATAGCAAGTAGATGTGGTAGTACAGGAAGGCTACAGGCTGTGTCCCGAAACGCGAACCATCTCCTTGTATATAAGCGTGCTGCGTCTTGACGTCCCTTCCCGTTGACGTCTGTTTCTCGGCCAACTTACATCGTCAAACCGTTTCAGGGTCTCCGACCAGCCAGGATACTTGCAACCAGCACTGAAAAGGCACCTAATGTCGGGGCTTTAATAATTTCAACAGGGAGGCTCCTCATTTTAACTATAGTATACCCCCAAACCCTTTTCTGATTATCAAGGCCTACATTAAGGCTTCAAACCGAATCCGTGAACCCTAGGCCCAGGCCCCAGGGGCTTGGTTATGGGACCAGAATTTTGGGGTAGTACGAGGGAGTTTTCCTACTGCCAAGCCCTAAACCCGAAGCGCTCAAGCAAAGCCCGAAACCGTCGAGGTACATGTTTTTGCAGTCCGGGGTGCAGCCTGCCAGTGACCAACGCAGACTTGTGGCTGAGATCTGTCGCGGGCCCAGGCGCCTGCAAAGGTTGCGAGTAGTGGCCGATAGACCGAAGACACCGAGATCTCACATGTAAGTGCTAGATGTAGACCCTGAACATCCAGAAACCCTAAGCCGCGCAACCCTCGACCAACTGGTTTGCCTGGATCTTACGATGTTCACGGATTAGGTTTGTGCTTTGACTTTATAGGATTTCATTGGCGTTGTTCTTGTTGTTCTGGTTTGTAGGCTGTTGTTGAGTTTTATGGTGCTATGTCTGGTTTCATTGGGTTGTTTCAGGGTTTTACTGGAATTGTCGGCAATATGGTAGGGGTTATATAGGTGTGCAATAGTTACTTAAGCTTCGAGTTCTGTACTTATACTACATCTACGCTGAGGCCCTTATGGCTGGGGATGTTGCAACAGAAGGAAAGTAATTCTCGGTTCCTTCTTCAGGGCATGTTCGTCAAACCATACACAGTGTTCCTCGCATACTACAGCGAGAAACGAAAGTTCTCAGGCACCGGATGCTTGAAGTTTTATGTTACTATGCTGGCGACCCTTCGGGAGGAGCTGTGTAAGTTTCAGGCTATGAAGGCAGCACGCAAAGGGTGCTATCCCGGTGAAAGGCAGACAAATTTTGCTACCACGCACAATCCCGAGCCCAACATGCATGGTAAGATCGGAGCCTCTGGACCTGTATAACCCTGACACAAAACTTGGAAATATTGGGGGGCGTCAGTGATTAGAATAAGGTTTTGGGGCCCATTATATTCTATTTATAACAAGGAGTAGGTAATTATATAGCCCCCTATATTAGGTGAACCGTAATTGCGCTTTAAAACCGGCTTTGTGCAAGAGCCAGGTTGATCATCCACGTGGGCCCACACAAGACAGGCACAACGTCCTTCCAGACCTTTTTGGTAGAGAAACTTGGTTCTTGCTGAGGAACTTATAACCTATTTTGCAGGCGTTTAAGGATTTGAGAAGATTGCTGTGTTTGCTTTTCATTGGCGTGTTCTCGGTTCCTGTTCCGCCTTGAGCATGTAATAAGACTTTGGCGCAGTGGAATGGGGTTTTCGGGCTCAAGGCTTTTGTCAGGGAAACAAGTTAAGTGGCAATAGTAAGGGAATACAGTTAGAACACACGTTTCGCTTATTCTAGTAGCACAAGTCCCTGTCACCGTCCGCATAAAAAGACGAAATCAGGAAAGCCCGGTACTAGTACATGGAAACTGCCCGAATGCGAGTCCCAAAGGCTCCATGTACCTGTATAGTAGATGCTTAAGCCCCAAAGTAGTCCCTATATAGGTACTTTAAGGCCTAAGTATATACTATATGGGTACATGGAGCCTTAGGGAGTCCAGGAAAGCAGCATGGCTGGAAAGTGAATCCTGAACCCTAAACCCGAAACCGTGCGAGTTCAGGAAAGCAGCGTGGCTGGAAAGTGAATACGGCGTCTCCGTTGGCTTCTCCAAGGCAAAGGCAGGCAGCGTCTTGATCGCACAAACCCATGGCGCGAGGACATCTGTGTCACATCGGGGCCTTAATAATTACCTATACTAATTAAGGGGTTCCTTGTCATAGTTATAATATAATGGGCCAAAACCCTATTCTAATTATTAAGGCCCCATATTCGGGCCTTTAGCTAATTTGGGCCGCTTGGGTCTGGGTGTGGCTGGTTCAGGGTTTGAGATGGATTTTTTGGATAAGCTGTTCACGACAGTCCTGATTCCGGCATCACGGTAGCATAGCGGCCGCAACATGTGCAGC